GCTTGAAATCCCATCTACATTGTACGTGTATAGCTGTACATCACTTGCACACGTATGTTGTAGTACTGCCTTTTTCCCCCGTACTAAATGCCTATGTGCTTCTCTGCATCCAGGAGTAAATGGGTACCTGTGAGGGCAGACATGGTTGTTTAGCTATTTGTGCGAAATGGCAGCACCAGGCTAGTATACTCCCCAGGGAGCTGAGAGGGTTTCAGGAATGTTCAGATGATGTGTGAGCCCAATGTGCATGGATAATGATAATACAGCGCCTTGGGAATAGTTGCCTAGATAGATGGCGCTTTACAAGTGCTTGTTATTACTATTATCATTATTATTATTACTATTGAAAATATTCCATTTGTAAGCAGTGCCTGTCTTGCTGTGTTAATGTACATGTATGTACTGGTAAAGTGTAACTGGTATAGGCCATTCTTAAGATGCCTTCGCACAGGATGCAGTCTCTTTGTTTTTTCAGCAGACTACTCTCACTGGATAATTGTGCATTTTTGATCCCTGCATCTGCAGCTTTTGAAGGAATTACATGTACGGGTAGATGTGTCCTGTGTGCAAAATTCTGTAACTGATTTCTCTCTCTGGGTCCGTCAAGTACTCCGTATACATTGTATGTGTGCCATAAAACAGTGTAGAACTTTTCAGTGTACTGATACATGTACAGGGGCATAATAGGGAATCCCACATTTGGAAGGTCTTTGGTTGCTTCAGTTCATTTTATTCAAAAGCAAGTGCTTCAAGTATAGTTACACATACACATGTGTTTGTACGTGTACATGTGCAGTGTATGTACATGTAGGTAACCACTTCTGTCTGAAGGACATGAAACTTAAGGAATCCCTGTGTTGAAATGCAGAGGACATTTAAACAATTCCGGCAAATTTTGAATGTACATGTAGTCATGGTAGTGCTGAGTATTGCCTGACTCAACTGTACTCATCCTCATGACTTAAATGATTCCCATTTAAGTTGTACGCACCTATGTACATGTACATGTTTGTATGTACATGTACTGTACATGTGCAAAATAGTCCATGGAGGTTGAGTGTGTGTCTCCCTCAAACTGTCATGGGCTTCAGCAGGACACTGCAGCAAAAATCACTCCCTGACACTCTCAGACATTGCAAAGAGCGAACATGCACGAGAAAGTTTTGCATGAATCTTGAGCTAATGGCCACCATGGGTCAACATTTGTGAAGTCCAACTTTGTAAAGGAATGTGGAAACCGGTATGTTTAAATGTCGGTATCTTCGGCTGAAATTGACACCAAGAACGAGACAACATGGAATGTTACATGTACTGTCGGCAAGTGGTTAAGCAGTTTTGCAGGCTTAGATCACACACTGTATACTTTTTACAACTGGTTCCATGTTAATGTCAGCTTGGCACAGACTTTTAAGCATCTCCTTGAAATTTGGCCATGGGTTGGTTGTTATGATGCTTATGTGTACATTTACTTGTGCTGTGTACGAGTACATGAGCATGCATGGTTCTGTGCAGGGTTCATGTACATGTATGTGTACGTAAATGGTTCAAATGTAGATATTCCATCCAATAATACATACTTTTCCCTGCTCAGGCACTCACATACATAATTTGAACATCTCCCATGGACGCATCTCACATGTAAAGGGACGGAAAAGCCGATTGGCACCTGGAAGGTTGATTGCATATTGCGTCTAGAAACCAGATGCCAGGCTGTGAAAGGGGCCCACTCATGAATGGGTAACGAGGCTGAAATTGATTACTCTGCACGCAGAGAAACTGGGATGTCATTAAAGAAAGCACCTCATCAGTCAGGCTAAATTGCAACAATGCTGGGAATTGTTTACACGTACACATTACAAGTTGACATACATTTTCATGATACATGTTACCTGCCTGCTACTTCAGGTATGTTGATGGGACAAGGGTGATTCACAATTCAAGAGTCACCAAGACGTTGCCACAGAGGCCTTTTTCCCAGTACATTGTGGGAAAATCTAAATGGTCGACAAAGGTCTATTCATCATCAGCTGCACTGTGTGTGGGGAACTTCAAATTGTCCCAATACATGTATTTGTCTGGGATGAAGATCTGAAAAGCTTTTTTGAGCACTACATGCAATCAAGATGATGATTTTGAAGAGTAAGGAATGTCCATTGACATTTGCACAAAGCAATCACAGTGAGTCAGCCAAGTTTTTGTCAACCATAAACTTGCCAAGTGGCCTCTCTATGGCAACCCCTCAGTAGCGCACTGTATAGAGTACCAAAGTGACTACGTTACATGTACAATTATGTGTATAAAAAGCATTTGCGCAAGAACCAGCACGTGAACCAACACGTGAATGCTCCTTTGCACTGCACTTTCTGCAGTTCAAACTTCGGTTCTCTGTTATTGGTCACCATTACTTTTATTCACATGTAAGGTACATGTATGTGTTGTCCCCACAGTGTCTATGGGACAACTTATTAACTATAATGTACATGTTTACATGTTATGATTGTTTCTTGATATGCCCCATCGTGCAAAAAAATTCTCAGCATGTAGAAGGGGTACCCGCTCACTTGGTCAAATTTTATCAGGAGCTGTCAGATCAATAACGGTCCTGTCCATTCTCATCCTTGTCATTTTATGCAGTCACAGTCAGACTCATCGCCCGATGACCAAGTGGACGAGGACTCATTATCAAATATCTCACGGGAGTTGCAGGCCCTGAGAGATCGGTCCATCACCACTAGCAGCTACGAGGAGAGCCAACTTGCCCAAGGTGAAATCCCGAGACTGCTATGAGACATAGCCTTCTGTGCAGTGTTGTTTCTTGGCTGCTATTTTTGCATATATCTGTCTGTTCTTACTTTGATCATTTTCTGAAACCTTACATTCAACCAATAATAACACACATGAAATAAGACATGAAACATGAAATCTATTAAAGTACAGTACATGTAGCTGCTTGGCTCCTCCATCAAAGTCAAAAACAAAAAAAGCAACAACAAAATGGTCAGATCTCGGCCAGTACAGAGGGCGCCAACGAGTCATGCCCCTTCCCCCCAAAAAATGGGTAAAACTATTTGGTTTTTGAAATTCAATAAGAGAAAGGTAATTTGAACCACATGTATTTCATTTGCCTTCCTTCCCGAAGCATGCTGAAAGCCCTATTATTGAGCCTCACTCAATTAAGCCATGAAAAGACTTAAAGAAATTTTCCCAAATTTGAATCTGGATCTGCCCTTGTGGTTAGGAATAATAGATGTCTATCAGAGCTTCACCGTTGACTGGTTTTGTGCGACGCCCATGCACACATGCATGTACAGAGTTGCAGTTCACCACTCACTGTGCACAGCAACGTCCCTTGAGCAAAGTGGTGTTCTCACCTTGTGTACCTGTGCCTTTAGCACCCCAGACACCTTATGCAGGTCCATAAACTTTGCTTCCTTTGGGACACACAAGAATGGTACCATGTCAGAGCCAAGAGGCTGTGTAGAGGCCTTGATAATGCATTTCATCCCATGCTTAGCATTCTCAAGCTTCATGTAGACTGATACCAGAAAATGTAAATTAAATGTTAATGGTCTCAATGATAAGATTTGGAGCTTTGCAGTTTGCAGAGAGGCCACGTACATGTACTGGTACAAGTAAGGAAATATCTCTTTTTTGGAGGAAATGTGGCTCTGAAAAGAACCAGTGAATTAGAACTTGACATTTTGACCAGGATGCTCTAGTTGTCCTCAGGAGAGAGAGATTCAATGAACTACAGGCCCCAGTGAAATTAGCTTTCTCTAAAGGCAAATTGGCTAAGCATTTGAGTACTTTTGGTGGAGTCCTATACATGTATTGCATGTACATGTACTGTACACTGTACTGTACCTCAGCCGCTTCCAGTGGTACACACCCTTCCCTTTCATAGAGCTGTTGTGTGAGATATTAGAGCATGTGATTCACTCTGCATCCAATCACTGCATTTATGCATCTTGCTGGGCCAGTGATGATGCTCAAAGCCTTGTATATCATCGTCATTGCCTGCAGTAACGTTATTGGACATTGCTTGCCCAGCTCCCCTCCACGGGCAGCGTCAGTCATCGTTATGCATGGCGTGGGCTTCCAGACAGCAGTAGAGACCCTCAATGATGTATTCATCCATCAGTCTCCATCTCCCTCCACCTTGTCTCTATGATTCACCATCCGATGACCTGTTACTCATTACGGTATCGATCAGCACTGGCAGAATTAAAACTAAGATCACAAATTTTACTCATTGTTGTGTCGGAAAGTGGTTTGAATGCATGTCTTACATGTACGTATACAGTACATGAAAATGTATGCAGTTACAATTTGTCCAGTATATGCACACATTCATGAGATAAAAGCGTGTGGATAAGCTGATGCAGTTCTCTTCAAATATGTGTACATTTACACTTTATACCATATGGTTCAGGTACTTAAAAACCTCACTGTTCAGAAATATTTTAAGGTATTGAGTCTGCATGTCCATCTGTAACGAGTGCTGTCCAGCACTTGAACAAACTGTACATGTACCATTAAGTCAAATTTGCCCCCTCCCCCCAAAAAAGAAATTTTTCTTTTCAAATACGAAGGCTGGGAAGCTGCTCAATTTCTTGCCGTTTCCGTTTCTCTGGCAGGTGGCCGTGGAAAGGTATTGAAGATTACATGAAGAAATTATCAAAATTTCACTCCCTCCCTCCCCAAAAAAAGAATTATTACTGGATCCACCCTTGCACAGTTACATGTACATGTATACTTACTTGATACTTGATGAAAATTACCCATTATTCTGACAGTAAAGCTACTGTACAAAAATGCATGTACTGGCACAGTGTACAGACTATTTCAATTCGGTAATGGGATTTGTGATATTCAGCTTGTTGGTGATACTCTGGGAAATAAAAAAGCGAAAGGAATTTTTAAAAATGTCCTAGCCAGCCATGCATTATGTAGAAGCAGGGATATGTTTCAATCAGCGTGAATCCTACATGTACCGATAAGTACATGTACATGTACGATCAAACCCATGTCTGAGATTTTTGCTTCCTCATTAAGAACTTCACACCATGCAGAAAACTCATCCTGACAAACTAACAGCACCTACGCTACGTGTTCATGTATGACTGAATATTTGGGTTGTAATACTGTTACCAGTCACCTTCCACATCTTGAGTGCTGTTTCTCTAAAATCTCTATGAAGTTTCAATTACGGTAACTGCACGTACAGTGTACATAACATGTACCATATGTGCATGTACCTACTAGTACATGTAGGTTCACATACAGTACATGTTGCACATCCTGCAAGTGTGGTTGAATACAACATATGAACATACCGACAGTTACCGGTATGCATGCGTGCACATGAATACAAGATGCTCTTTATTATACATCGTACATGTACCTCGTTGGTGTTTTGCACTGTTTGTGTATGCATTGCCATTTTGAAAGAAATCTTTCTGAAAAAATGCCCCAAGCTGGTATCGGAGGGTTGTGTGTGATCCCCAGGAGCTACAGACGTGTGTGTACAACTACAGGTGTTCATTTAAAATGTATTGGATGTACCATAGAGGAATCCTCCATCCACGCACCAAGTACAGGGTACAGGTAGTTCGGCACTTGTAAAAGTACCGGTACATGTATAAATTGTCAATTAATGACTTTGTACAGCCTACATGTACCAATCAATGCAAGCTTAAGTGGCAATGCATTTAGTTTGGCACAGAGTGAAAGTCAAGAACCATGCATAAATTTTGAACTGGTTGTGTGCAAAGCTGCATGCAGAAGGGTGCCTGACCATTTGGCACCTACAGTACATGTATGGATGTTACTCGATGTGTTGTCATTTACACACTCTACACATACCGGTAATGTGTATTTTAGTAGTCCTTTTTTGTGTGTACCGGTACTTGTACTTGCACCTGGTATAGAATGCAGGGAGGTCATAAGATCTGGGGCCAATGTCATAGAGCTGCTTAAGCACAAAATCTGCTTAAGTGTGAAAAAACCTTGCTTAAAATACAAAGGTTACCAGCTCAAACTCTATCTGATTGTCATGCTAACCAAAAGACAGCTAAATATGATTCCAAAACAATATACATCACATGGAGTTTTGGCTGGTTACCAGACTTATCAAGCAAGGTTTTCTCGTGCGAGTTTTGGCTGGTTACCTGATTTATCAAGCAAGGTTTTCTCTTGCTTAAGCAAATTTTGTGCTTAAGCAGCTCTATGAAATTGGCCCCTGGGATTATCATGGCATCATGCAGTTTCACTGTACAAACAAATGCCAAAATATTACAGGTGTATTATCAAAATGATTGAGAGGGCGATCAAAATCTTTGTAGGGATGGTGTCAGAATATTAGAAGCTGTCTGCATCAGTACATAAACATGCACATGCACATTGGATTATGACCATTCCAAGCTCTGTGCACAAGGACACTAATTCCGCATAGCTGTTCAACATTATACGGACACGAAGCGGAGCCTGTATGCAAATAGAAACATTCCTTCTTGCAAACAAAATTTCACTCCTACATGGGCATGTGGGTGCGCATGCTTTGCATACATACAGTATTCTGTGAGGACCTGTGGGCAAAGGATGTCTACATAATGTAGGGTTCAAAGACGTTGTGTGGACTTGCACAGGTCCACACAGTGTTTTTCCCTCTGTAAGAAAAAAGTTTCAGAGGCAGATTGAGGTTAGGGATTTTTGTGGCAAAGTGAAGAGGAATGATTAAGGAAATCATCAGTAAAATCCAACTAGTAATAATGCTCACAGTGGGAGACAAAAAGAACATTTTTTCCCTAGTTTTTTATAACCACAGAGAAACAACGGAATGTTCACTTAAGGTATGTGAAACATTGTTTGCATGTGTTGACGTGTACGTATAAACAAGATTCAATGCCAGAAGTGTACAGCTGCCATTCCGTGACTTCTTGCTATAACTCATTTGTCAGTCATGCCACTTTGCTGCACTGGGTGATTTTCCTTCGCAAAGCGCTTATGTCAACGCCGTCTGGGATTGGCTTGGGTCCATAGCCAGCAGTGAGTTAGTCATTCTGGTGTGCAACGAGTTTGTCGGTCCGGTGTGACGCACGTAGCCGAGCCAGTCCAGGTCAGGACGGTTGCTCTAAGACGTAAGTATACGGATGCAAATATGATGGAGCTGGCATGTACGTGTTTGGCTGGGGCAGGCTTGGCACAATGTACAGTTTACCTACATCGGGAGAAGCTGTATCAAATATTCATGAAGTCACGCAGCTGTCCAGCTTTCAGACACGTAGTATTGTCAGATATGCACTGGCCTGGTATGTGACTTATTGAAAAGGGGGAGGCAGTGTGAAAATCCCTGACATGGTCAGAAGGAGTGCAGTGTTTATTACCTCGTTTTCCCATAAAGAGACGTAGTACCAGTGAACGGTTGAAATTGGATTATTAGTATCGCCTTGAAAAGAAAAAGTGTATTGTATGCGTACATGCACTCGCACATACTGCACATTATGATGGGTTCAAATTCCAAAACTGTGTTCACCTTATTTTCCCATACGCAAATGCATGCAGCGACACCTGTTTGTATCAGTTTGTCTCAGAAGCATCCACGTTGCAGGAAGGAAAACTGGATTCACTGAAGAACATCACTACATGTACACGTACATGTAACAAACTCATAACATGTAAAACGTGTCGGCACCTCATGTAATATGGTGTACAAGTAGGACATTCCTAATGAATTTGTTTTTAATGTACAATAGCGCATTGTACAAGTAATAGGCACTTTCGATGATGAGATCAGACACAAGCATGTACGCACACTGACTCATTATGCAAGCTCTTGGACTTCTGTGGAACGTTCATCTAGACATCGATGACTCGCAAGTCTCCGCCGCAAGCATGTGCAGCTTAGCCCTACCACTATATCGCTGCAGTCACTCAAGCATACACCACCGTTCACTGCAAAAACACCAAGGGTATTAATGTTACGCACTATTACCCCTCGGTATTTCTCACAGCTCTAGAAACTCGTCCAAAAGCGGCAGGTCCGCATAGCCATTCATACTGCCCGGGGGCAGTATTGTTAAGTAAATACCGACATTTTATTCTCTTCTTGTGTCAATAGTACGGTTCAATTTCCTATTGGAGGCAGTACAAGCCAAGATATTGTCTTGAAAACGAGCAGGCATCGTCTGGTATTTATTCATGAATGTCTGACACTCATTGCTGAGGGACATTGTGTGCAGTGTAATTAGCCTGCAGAGGGTATAGATATCTAGCTCGTATTTGAGTTAAAACAAATTAACAAGAACATTGAGTCATATACAATGTACATGTATGCATGTTAGAATGCACATGAAGTCAAACCTGTGAGCAGGATAATCTTTGGAGGGTATTTCATGACAAATCAGCATACTGTTACCTTCAGGATGACACTGAGATCTGATATGTTTGATGAAAATCAGCTGGTTTCTCTCTTGGAAGGAATTCACCACGTAGAATAATACAGTTTAAGACTCTTTGGGCAAATTGGTTTAACAAGGTTGTCTGAGACACATACATGTATTTCAAATCTTGACACCACAATGTACCATGTACATCCATTTTGAAGGTTAAATTTGATAAATCACCCGCAAGTGGAACATGTCATGTAGTTATTCCACTTTTAACATGTTCCAAACACATACAGTGTCTCATTGGAAATGCGTTGTGGCCTAGATGTACACGAATACCTTCAGGATTGTGCCTCAGGAATGATACGAGCTCTATGAGGCCCATAAATTTGATTGAGTATGTGACTGTAAAAAAGGCAGAAAAAGTTTTGCAGCCCGACTCTTTTTTATTCATATTATTATATGCGTGGAGAGCTGGCGCCATTGTGACTGGTTAAGGAATGACTGCACCGGCCAGTCCAGTTCTGGGGGAGCGCTTAATTGCAATAAGGTCTCTGAAAGCCAACATTTTAAAAGTACCGGTACATAAGCCAGTATGTGCGTATGTTACGTGTGCATACATGTAGATGTACATGTAATTTAGAAACCTGCTTTTCTCTCATTATTCTCTCATAGCCTGACCTACCGGTAGACAATTATTATTTACCTAGCAACAACCTTGGATGATCCTGCAGTAGATCACTCTGTACTTACCAGTATAACACTTTTCGGCTGCTGTGCAGCTCTGAGCCAAACATGTACCGGTACATGTGCATGCATTATGTACATTGTGTAGAGTGTCTACATCCGAAGTAGTGCGTTATAAATGATTTATGCTGCCAACTTGGTTGCTTCAAGAGCTAACAGCTTTCTTAAGTGGCTTGAGTGAAAGGGTAAACAAAAGTAAGAATTTAAGAAAAGTAAGAATCATTTGTGTACATCGTGGTTCCTACGAGGAAATACGTGACTGTCCCCAAGTTTTTGTCAAATCTCGGAATACTTATCACTTTCAGGATAATACATGTACGTGTAGTTTGATGTTTCAAGTCATAAAAACCCTACAAAAAAATCAACAGTACAGTAGCACCCCCTTTGCCAAGTGCAGTAACATTTTGACTACAATAAATACATGTAAACGTGTTCATATAGTCAAAGGAACATATGTACATGTTAATGCAGCCGCATCTGCCACATATTCAGTGCCAAAGGGATGACATTTGTATCAGTCTTAACACAAGAGGTACGTGGATCAGGTGCTTCAGCAAACCTCTCCAAGCTGTGGAGGGTCAAGGGTCATTTCAACCTCAAGAGGCAGCCAATCCTGGTCTCTGAAATACCCCCTCCCCCACAGTAACTTGATTTTTGTCCTGCCCTGGGCCTAAACATCCGATTCGCCGGTGTGGTTATTTCATTACCATTGATACTGGGGCTGCGACTCACAAGGCACCATTTTAATTCAATAGTCACTTGCCATCAAAGCTCCATCATAAACGCCTACCGGTAGTTGTAGATTTTATCCCATCATACTCTGTTGTGTTAAATCTTGACATTCATGTATTTTGTGCCTCTAATTGTATGCACATGCAGTATGTACATGTACACGTACCCGTAAAGGTGAGATTATTGAGATGGATGCTGGTAGGTCTACATAAATTTTTGTGTACATCGGTTGTCTCTTCCCTCCTTCCACTTTCTGCTGTTGTCCCACCCATCGTTGGTCCTATTTGCAGTGGAAATGCATAACACTCCCACACTAGCCATGTACGTACTAGGTATAAGGATCCCCTTTTGTACATGCACAGTGTACCGTTACATGTTCCAGTGTGTACATGTACATGTACTTGTAGAGGGGCAACTGTATAGACATGAGTTGAGGGAGAGCCATTTTTAGTCATGCTCCTGAACTACGTACAGTATCTTATTCACTGTAATCTGGTGCCAGACTAATTTGGATGCCATGCCTCACTTCCATTTTGGATGGCAATGCACAATCTTTTGTTCACACACAGGACCCATAGTACAGGCAGTGGTACCTTGGGTAGGGGGAGTCGGTCACTGTGAAACTGACAAATGATTGTTAGGTGGGGAGGGTGGAGTTGTAAGCATACACAAACCGGCACTTTACCACGCGTGTGTGTACACATACACCCAGTGATACACAGTGTAAAGCACATGCCTAGTTTTTGAGTCCAGGAGGAGGGGGAAAATAGGATTTTTTCGCTAAAAATGATTGTCTAATTTTTTCCATCCGTCAATATGAAAGAAACTATATAGGGAAACTGACTAGGTGCTTGTAAGTGATTAATAGAATCATTAGCACCCCAAGGTGCTTTCATTCTTGCTTACCAACTGTAATGTTTACAATTCCTAGAAAACTATAAGTCATTTGTTTCAAATATAATGTACACATAAAAGTTCACAACATGTTTAAGAGGGAAACTCAAATTTCTCCCTACCCCTGTGGATATGCCAGTGACATTAATGACGAACAAAAATATATTTGCTTGCAGTAATTAAATGAATCTATTGAAGCATGTTTCTGTGTTATCATTTTCAACCCTTTGATATGCCAGATCTCTTCTTTCCTTGACGTAGTGCAAATGTTTGCAATATTTGGTTTATTTGGTGAAACGTTATACCTTTATTCCACCCTTTTCATTTGATAATTTTGGTTTTATTTTCATTTTCTTTCCTTTTTTCCCCTGCTGCCTGAAGGATCGCCAGGTACAATTTGAGTTTGTTTTGTTTTCTTTCCATTTTGATGATTGGCTTGTTGAAATAAACACTAACGTATTGTGAAAACAATGTTAATATTGTTATACTGTATGTGCCAGCAGTGTTTCACATTTTTCTGTTTGTAGTTTTGTGTGATTGCACCATAAATTGTCTATAGATGCCTGTATGTTCATGTAAATATTATTGCCCTAGATGCACCGTTATGTACTGGTAAATACAGTGTATACCTACATGTAGTAATCCTTCACAAAGTGTATTGAGTTTACTACATGTACATGTATGCACAGTATTCATGTCACAAGTATAAATTACACAGTTCACCAATTTTTGTGAAAGAAAAAGAGAAAGTTATTTGAACACATAATCTGGCTCTATTCTGTTGAAAGTTTCAAAATGTGCCTTCAGATATTTTTTTGGGTGTAAAAATAGATCAGGCGTTCATCTTGAACAGAAGGATTTTTCATCTTGTGAGGGGGGAAAAAGGACAGTCGAAAGCTCCATTTTAAACTCATCTCATTCTTTGGATTCTTCGTTTTTGGCACGCACACTGTGTAGCGACCGGTAGGTCTCCACCATGATTGATCATTCCCCCCCCGCACCCGTGCCTTTACGAGTCCCTCCTGTGCATCACAGCCAACGTGCTGACTCACAGAGCGACCTACCTTCCTTCTTTGTCTGCCATAAATTGCCAAATCTCTCTCGTGCATTTTCTTCACGTTCAGAGAGTGCAGTTTGCTCTTTTCTCCCCACTGAACTTGGATCAGTATTTCCATGGACAGTAGCCAAGAATCGAAGCTTTAATTACCCCCTGCGTATTTACACTTTCAGCACACTAATTCTCTGCCTGATGCTTTTCATGCTGGTATTTTCAATGGTCTCATTACTTGGCACTCTAGGCATTTTCTTGCTTCAGGTGTCTGGAATTGTTGGAGCGAGATAGACAGGCTCTTCTCTGAAGTTGTGTAAACACTTAGAGCTTGATTGTCTCATCCAGGATGACACAGAGATGCGATCCTGCCTGGAGAGTGCCTCTAGGTTACAGCTGTGCGGAATCACATTTAGTAGTTCTTAATTACTCCTTGCTTATGTTACCAAAATACCAAAGTTTTGTGATGGCAAACCTACAGTGTATGCCCTAGAATGCACTGTCAAATACAATACATCTATGCTTTGTCAAGACTTACAGTAACTTGACGAAGACTGAAAAGATCATGTCACCATTCTGACAAATTATATCTAGCTTCTGGGTATAAAATATTTATGTTATTACATACCACACACATCACTGAGCAATTGGAGCACAGTACCAGTAATGAGTTCTCTGGAAACATGAAAGAATATTGTTTGTTGTGCAGTACTACAATGTACGTGTACATGTAATACATGTACAGACATGTACATGTATCTTTTTAGATTCACCATTCGCATAGACAACCTACACGTGCCAGTAGTTATTTAACCCATTAACACGGAATGTATTCCCAGATGAGTATCTGTACTTTGAGTGCAGGGGGTGGGGTGTTTTGGTGGCTAATGAAGCACATTTCTATTCTTGCATTTTGTACTCTATGTAAATCTTCACAGTTTTTGTCTATATTGTCATTACTTAAACTAGTATTTGTTACAGTGTCAAAGTCCAAATTTACCAATACACTATACTGATGTTCTTTCCATACATTCAAAAAATGTACACGTATGCATCAACATGCAGTTCATGTAAAGCACGAATTACAAAACAAATGTTTTCCAGTCTTGCATACTGTGTGTCTGTTTCTAGAAATTAGTCTTATCTTGTTGTCAGGAAAAAGAATTGATTGGTAAGTTTTGGTCCATCTAGTGTCTCTTGTTTCTGATGTGCATGTAAAGTCTATGAACTAAAACACCAGGGAATACCACGAACTTTCTCCCCATTTCACAAAACTACTCTTTTTGTTTCCGTTTTATACATCTAAGTACATGTATTTTGTCCCTTTAAGTTTGGATTAATGTCCTTTCTTCTGAACAGGCTTAAGAGACTTACATGAGTTTGGTACAAGTGGATTGTACTGCAAAGTATAGCAGAGTAAGGGTCAGAAAAAGAGATAGCCACCTAGGATGTAAAATTCATGGAAAACTGTAGTCATGTGAAGCATAAAACAAGGGGAAACCGACAAGGTGTTTGTATATATGCATCTTTACTTTTTAATCGCGAAGTGTAGGATTTAATGTTTTAATCAGTAATTGAAAACTGCTTGTCTGCATTTGCCTTGAAGTAAAAGAAAACTGTGTCTCATGGTCCGAGTTTGTGTAACAAAAGAAGTCATCCAAAATGCCTACAAGGTATCCCAAAGGACACCCAGACAGCCCGCTAAAACATTGGTCAGGTCCATGGCTGTACAGCGAACGAATTCATGGCTTGTGACCAACACCCCTGAACAAGGTTATTGGCAAAGTGGGAGGAACCTCCAATGTACAGCGCAGGGCTGGATGTCTCAAATGGTTGAGCAACAGTATGGAGTTTTGGAGACTGCAGGTCTCCTGTCAATTTCTTTCTTTCATCCTTATAATTACACAACTGATGTCCACAAAAATCTGACTTTTTTCTCTTATTCTGTCTCTGTATACAATCGTTGCAACTTCTGCAGAGCTGAAATGCATGACACTGTCGGAGCTGAACGAGCTCCTAGAGGACCTGGAGGCCACCATCAAAGAGTACTCGGAGGCCCTGGTGACAGAGCTGGCGCTGCGGGAGGATCTGTGCTTTGAGAAGGAGACCAAGAACCAGTTCATCTCGGCCCTGGTGGCCGTCCAGAACAAGATCAAAGGTTTTAAGAAGCAGCCGCCGTCGGCGTCCGGCAAGAAGAAGAACAAGAACGGCGTGGAGCCGGGAACGGTAAGGGGCCTGACGGTGTCTTTTTGCACTTGACACTGGATGACATATAAAAAGCCAGGGATGTCCTGAGTCATAACACAGAGAACATTCTGGCAATCTAATGTTTCATGCAGTGCTGTGTGACATCTGTACTGATCCTCGCGCTTGAGTGATTCCCGTAGAGTCTGTACTTGCACAAGAACAGACTGCAGAACTAGTCCATGGGCCATGGCTGTGCATTGTAGAAAATATTGCGCAGTGATATAATGTCAGAGTTTGGAAAACGGACGATGCCTCAAGATTGTTTGCAAAAATCTTGAGCAGATGACCACCTTAGGACAGCAATTGTAAAGTCCAATTTTGTAGAGGACTGTGGTTGCAATATCTTGTTCTAAGGATGCAAGGCCACAAATAATGCCTTTCCTGGTACAAATGCACCATGGAATAATACTGTCAGCGACATTGCTTTTGGTCTTGGTGTACCCATGTATGAAATAAGAACTTAAAATGAACATGTACCACTACATCTACATGTACGTCTACATGTACATGTGTACATGTACATGTAGATCTCATACCAGACAATTTCGTGATTCAGTACACCTCCATAGAATTGTTGCACCTGAGCCTGCTAGTGTAATCCTGCAGCTACTGGTCCAACGACCAGACCTGCCTTTATGCTCCCACTCGGTAGGAGTGACACATTCCCTCAGGAGTTTAAGGGTGGTACAGGCAGCTGACTAACACTGAGACATTGAGTGCATTGAAATTGACAGTTTAATGAACCAGTTTCCAAATGTCAAACAAGGCTTACATGTACATTTTCCATTTGAAAAAAAAGTCCATCACCCATTTTGATAATCCTCCAAATGCAGTGTGGGTGTGTGGGGGGACATTTCTCATCACCCATTTTGATAATCCTCCAAATGCAGTGTGGGTGTGTGGGGGGACATTTCTCATCCTGTGTATCATGCCTAAGATGTGAAGTGAAGAAGCATTGATGCACAGCTTATGGTGGGTGGGAAATCAAACAATTTTGCCGTACCAGAGAATTGGTCAAAAAGGTCTAAGGTTTGCATTTTGAACAGACAGATTATTTATAGGTTTCCTTTTTGAGTTTTTTGTTGTTTAGTGTTTCAAAATCTGTAAGGGTTTGCTGTCAGAAACTAACTTAAAATTCAATTCCCTAATTGCTTAATTATACTCTCAGAGGACTCTTAATTTTGATTTTATTTAATTGTTTTTCATGTGGTATAACATGGGCTTATGTACCGTACATGTATGCACGTGTATGGTGTTTCTGCTAGTAACTGCTCTTTCACTACCCTCACTTTAACATGAGTGCCCCATCTTTACATGTACATGTATATCCCCAAGAAATGAAAAAAGAATTGTCAAAACCACGTACATTTTCATATACTGGTACATGTACAGTGTATGTGCATGAACAATGTATGTACAGTTGTCAGGTTGTTTTTTTACTCTCCACAATACTGGGAGTACACGTACATATAATTCTTGGGCCACTGATAGACATGTACATGTATGACATACATTGTACACTTATACATGTACGTGTACCATTGTATTGTAACAGTTAAATAAAAAAGATTTCCTTTGCCAAATTAACAAATGTACATGTATGTACATGGATGGTACTCAGTACCGATATGATGTGTATTACACATACTGCATTTAAAATCCATGCTGACAGTACCATACATGTGTAATATGCATGGACATGTCGTATACCGGTACATACATGTACATGTACATACTGGTATGTACATGTACATTGAGCAAACGGCGGCATCACAGTTACATGTATTTTGCAAAATACCGGTAGTGAAAGGAATTGAATCTGGCTGACATTCACTGAAATGTGTGCACTCTCTCGACAGATTCTCTTTTGCTGTTGGGAAATCATCACAAATTATGTACTGGTAGAGTTTAATTTGTAGCATAGTTGGACATCTGTATGGCAGTGACAGAAATACATGTAAGACATTGCTGATGTGAAGTGGTTTCACTTTAGTATTGCAACTGTTTGATGCAAGAAGAATATTGCATCATTAAATGCCACAGACACAGTTTTGCAACACACAACAATGGAGACTGCTAATAGTGCTATTGTAAACTGAGTGACCTTTGGAAATCTGGACACACTAATAGATCGGGAAGCCAACCTCTAACATTGCAATTACATTGATGGGAATTCCTCTCAGAAAGTCAATTCAAAATAGACATACCTCTGTACATTTACTTACCCGTGGACGTGTATGTAAGTGTGTACGTTTACTTTCTTTTCTTAGGAATTACATGTAGTCTGATATATCCTCAATGGGAAATGCGGGTTAATGAATGTCTACATGTCACGGGTCAAGCCCACAATTTTGGGCATGGCATAACTTATACCATAGAGCAAGGAACCTGTTCTGTTCCTTGCTTTACCAGCATGCTTACAGGTAATGAAGATTTATCCTTAAAGACATCAATGGATTTCAGTGTTTTCATTGTGCTGTTGAGTATCTGGATGGAGAACATACACCCCCAAAATTATGCACATAATTAGATTTTGTGGTGGTTGTATTTATTAAAGAAAACATTACACATGGACACACCTTATACTTACATATGCACATGTTTACAAGTAATCTAAATGTGAGCAGCTCTTACAAGTATAAACTTCAACCAGACCTTTAAGCTGAGCTGGATCTGGGAAAGAGAATGCAGGACTTCAGTTCACTTTCCTAAGACCAAAACATTACGGGGTATCTCACTTGAATTGTTTTCAAATACATGTAGTAGCATAGTGGGATCAACAGAGGACTGTGAAAAATATAGACTTACAGGTATTTGAGTATAAATTTGTGCGGATTGCTTATAAATAACTTTTCTTTTTCATTGATTCAGTATTTAACCACCAGAATACCATACCACAAGGGTAGTGGGCCTCCAGATGTCCAAACACTGCAGCAAGTCACAAAAAGTAAGTTTACTGTACACGTACACGTACATGTAGTTGTATTTTTTTTCTTTATGTTTTCTTCTTCTTGTCCTTTTTCTTTCTTGAACATGAGTGTTGATTGACCTTTGACTTCAAATTTCCAGTGGCATAGTCGTTCACCAGCCATACACAAAGAGTGACTTGTGTACAGTCCATGTTCATCAGCTAGGTGTACATACATTTGAATGAGTGTCCAGGGAGGAGGAGCTAGGTGGGCCCCTCCCTCCAAATCCACTCTCTGACACATGCACTGATGACTCATTGCTGGGGTGATTTCTCATGTGTGCATACAGATACATTCTACGGCTGAACTGTCCAGCAGAATCTATTTATTTTATTTAGTTATTAATATCTGGTCGTACGTTGTACAACAGCGCAGTTACAAGATGAAGTGGCAATTAAGAAGACAGTAAAGACGTGTTTTGGTTTAGAGGTGGGAGGAAGCCCCAGGATAAGTATTCTCGGGAAAACCCACAGAATCATTCAGGGACTGAAAACCTGATCCACATGCAGACCTACATGTAGGTGGGATAGGAAAGGGCCGCTACACCAATCTGACTCCCACATTGTGTCAGCACTTCCAGCAATTCATTTCGAAGCTGTTCTTTTAAAAATTTAATTCAATTTTTCTGATTTGTTGTGCAGCTGCAGTGCCCCAAACTGTCCCCGTAGTCAGACAACATACATGTATATAGTTTTCTTTTTTCGTCCAAGGTTCAAAAATCATTTATTGAACTCACAACCATGATATTCATAGGTTTCGTCCCACACACGTGCAATTCCTTTAAGCCCCCCCCCCCAATACTTGGCCGAGCAATACCATGCAGCCAAGGGGGATGGCAAGCCCTTTTCAGGGTAAAAGCCGATGTGTTAAAACATAATCCCCACTTGAAGAAATGCTACAGAATCGTTGCTGTTCGTGTGAGGGGTAGCAGATGAATTTAGAGATACGCTGACGTAAATGGATTGCTTTTTTCTCCTGCCCCTGGGCTGCATTCTGTGCCTCAGATGTCCCTATTTTATGGTGCATGCACATACTGCAAGAGGGCTTATGTATTAATTGGTTACTGTTCAATATTTGCATACGTGTATTTGAGGGTAGGGGAAATTGAGCATGTGTACATAAAATGTTGCAAAGCAACATCTTACCTGCTTTAGTCACTCTTATAAGTTGTGTAAGTTTTGTGCATCAGAGGACAGTTTTAAGTGTACTTTTTTAATTTTGTGGCATTTTGTTATTATTCTGTGGGAGGCTGTCGTGATGATGTGAATGGATACCACAAGATTTTAGTTTGCATTACACAAAACAAAGAGAGCTTTTTGTTTTGATACGTACCCGGTACAATGTGTCCTCCAGATGAAAATGGACAGAAGGTGGAGGAAACATGTTTGGGGCTCCTAGTTATTGACATTTTGCAAAATTATTTAGTTCAACAGTGGCTTACAAGTAGTTGACTTGCAACTCATGGTGTTAGTTTGGGTCACATATGAATCGCTGATGTTGCAGCAGATATTCCCGTTTCAGTTTGTGCAATACAAATGACGTTTCAAGATGTCTGTGGTGAGGTACGCGTACATGTGTACACCCAAAGCAAAAATTCATAGTGACACCAAGCAGAAACTGTTTCAGGATAAAAGTGTGGTTTTAAAAAGAACTCGTGAAATTCAGGCATTAGCAAATACAGCTGCGGATGCTTCCTGATGTTGACCCTGCAAAGTCCTGCCCGGCAAGTCATTCTCAAGTGTGAATATGGATGACCAGCTGTATGAACTAGTGCCCTGCATACATGTGCCCTTTTCAATTTAATACGTGATGGTCTGAGAGCAGCTTCATAAATTTTCTCTCTCAGATTTGCATGTATACGTGTAGTAGTCTGAGAGTGCCTGACATGTCATTGTCCACATGTACATGTGTGATCTAAGATGTGGCTCAGACTTGTTCTCTGCTGTGAGTGGGAACAAGAGAGATCTGTGTTTACATGGGAACTCACTGGTTCATGCATCTCATCAGCAAAAATTTGCCACTCGTAACTACAGCAGGAAATGTTTCACTAGCAGTTACCATATTGCATGGGCTTGCAGGGAATTTCGAGCATGCTGTACAGCCTAAAAGTATGTGTAAGGGTTTTTGTAATAACAGGGCTGGCCTAGGGCTTTGCGCAAACTAAGTGCAGAATTCTTAAATCCTTGAATCCTAAGTGCAGATTCCTTGAAATAAGGCCCTGGAACGTTTTGGAAGCCAGCATTGTCAAAGCGCAAACAATTGTTGATGCCTGCTTCTGTGCACATGCCTGAAGTTGGTCAGCACCTCTTCCATATTTTGTTCGTAGATCACGTACAATCCAACCTTGCACTATGCCTTGAGTAGTTCAGATGGGTCATGTCATGTGCCATCTTTGGCTTTGATCTAGACATGTCTCATACACACTCATGGTCACTTTCGTGGGCCAGAATTATCGTTGAGGCTTGACTGTCACCTACTGTACATGTTTTCATAACCCCAACCTCAATTAGCACTGGTGTGTTAGTGCTTGTAAGTGGTGTGGCACTGCACCACATCACTATGGAAATCATTGCGATATTTGATATGACAGTTGCACCATTCGGGTAATATCCATATCTCAGTGTTTCAGGTCAGTTGGAGCCTCCTTGGAGCCTCCCTGTCATTGGGATAAACTGTGAAGAGATGCGTGCACTCTTTTGAAGTGAAAATCGTGAAGGAAAAGCAAAAGTACATGTACTCCAAAGCTTTTCATAGACCTGTCTGTTGAGACATATGCTGTCAGAAGCCTTGTTGTTCATGCAGCCGTAACGATGACGGGCAGTACACAAAGATGTCAAGACACAAACAGTCTCAGAAGAGACAGTGTATACTTGTCATTTGACAAAAAAATGAAAACCAAGATGGAGTCCAAAACTTCAAAGATTTTCACACTCTTTAAGGGCTTATACTATTACTTGAACTTAATAAACCAGTCTGTTAACCAGTCATGCCAACCTGCCTTTTTCTGCTTGAATTAAACTAAATGCTATTAAATGAGATACTGAAGTCGGTCGTCCTTGTGCAAATTTGTATAACGACGACCACAGGCTAGTGGCAGCAGAAATGAATGGAAGTATTGATATTTGGCATTGTCACTTATCTATTAAACCTCTCTTCACATACCGGTAACTAATTAAAAAAAATTTTTAAATAAAATTGAAAAAGTAGAAGAAAAATGATGTACATGTATCAAAAGAGGGTAAAAGGTATCATTCTGCCTATGTGTACTTCCAGTGTTTGCTCTTTTTAAGCCTCTTTTTGAAAAAAAATTCAAATATCAAACAGAAAGACAAAATTTACATATATATACCCATACATGTACATGTTCGTATTTAAAAGGGAAACTCTGCCAACCTCCTGCGTATGTAGTCACATGTCAAGATGAGCCCATGGTATTCAGATTTACACTGTAAATGTACATGCTGAAATTATTGATTTATGCAATGGTATGTACCAGCACATGTGGATATGAGTAGCATACATAATTGAGTTGGTGAATTTAGTCCTCTCCAGAAATGTGAAAAACTGCAAAGCCGTAAATCATATTCAACATTCTCCATGTCTGCTCCACATGAACCCTAACACCCTTGGCTATGTGAAAAGTCATATTAAATCTTGGAGGATTGAGGACTGTTGTTATTACAGTGACCGCCTTTGAGAACTTTTAAAAAGCAACATGTACTTTCTACACATACATGTAGGTGCATTGTTCTTATTTTCTTTTGCATTTGGTGTCTTAACTTGTAACCTGCCGAGTTAAAGATTTTCTCGGAAAAGGAAGAGCAAGTGATTGACTGAGTAAATTGATTTACCTTCATGAATGTATGAAAAGTAATCGATGAATTTGGTTATTCCTTGGTACATGTACCGGTACATGTAGCAAGCAGTTCGTTGTTTGTAGCAGTGTCAAACCAGACAAAAATCTGATATACACGTAAATTTAAGGTGAAGTTATCAGGTCACATCCTCTCATCTGATGCTTCTGACTTCCTCCATGGTCTGACCCATCTTCTTGGGAGGTAGTCAGGGGACTGAAAACTGATTCTGTACATACCTCCCCCCGTCCCCCACGGTTGCTGCACTTAAAGTCCTCCCCAATATCATCTTCCCAGGGTACAGGCAGTGTGCGTGTGGACGTTTTTCCTCCTGGTCATTCTAGCGCTAAATTTATGCTAAGCTTTGCCCTGGGAATTTGGATAATTTGCGAAACTCCGAGAAATCACATTATGTTCAGGATTTTAGAGGTTTTTTCCCAATTGATAACAGAATCTTCATGTAAGGTAGACAGACTCCTGTTTTCCTGGTTAAGGGAATAACAGTAGTACACATGTACACGAGCATATTCAAAAACAGACTTCAGTTTGGGGGAATTTCCAAAATTAAAGATTTTGCCCCAGAAATTGCCATACAGGATTTTAGGAGATTCACTCCAAGTCGGGACATTTCAATACATGTATACCAGTAGCACTTGAGAAGCTGTGCACACCCGTTTTGCATGAATATGGATAATCAGATACATACTGTACTACAGTATGTGAGGAAATTTCCTAAACCAGAGATTTTGAAGTCAAGAGGAACACACAAATCTATCTGGGTTAATTGCCTGACAATTTAATAGTGGCTCTCCGTTATACTGTCATCCAGAGCTGTAGGTATTAATGCAGATTAGCATGAGTTAATCACATTGGATATGCAGGAAATCCAATCAGGATGCTTGCTGCTAGCCTGAGATGCAGACTAAAATGCATCTAGGCAATTTGCATGGTTAGACACATGGTCACACCTATGTACACTTGCTCTCTTTGCAGTAAAGCCTTGCAGACTGCAGTAAACTACAGTGAATTATCCCAAATTTGGGTCTGAGCTGTGTGACAGGGTGGATGTCTTGCGTGGATAGTGGGCCTTGACAACTTGTTCTGTGCTGCTTCTTCCCATGCTGTCAGGGCCCAGTTCCACGGAGTTGCTATAAGCTGAAAAATAATACACAGTAAAATATGTGTACCTATACATTGTGTATTAAGCAAAAATTAATGGAGAACCAGGAAGTAGAAGTACTTAAAGCCAGAAAAAGCTGTTTTTCTTGTTTCTTCCAACCTGCCCCATTTTGAAGGCACAACCCTTTTTTTCAGGGAAGGGGGGTTGAGGTAATGTGAAATTTGAAACTGAGACAAAAATGTGTCTATTGTAGTTTGGCTATGGTGTAAAAAGTTCAACTGACTCATTAATATGCGTGCTGCTACGTGTACTGTACATGCAGTACCCTCTATTTAAAGTGTTCCTTTCATTTGAAACAAATGCCACCTGACTTGTGCTGTTTCTTTTCAACAAGAAAACACTTTCCTTTACACAGAATCAGTGCCAAAAAGTGAACCCCCCCCAAAAACAAAATCATTCCTACCGTGGTACCTACCTTATTTTGAGATGCTATTTAACAGGAAGCAAAACTATATCGCCTAACCTGTCTCTGCTTAGCAAATTTGTTCAGTTTTTTATAATGATAGCAGAATTCTGCTCTCCATGAAATTGGCCAGAGTTGCAGTTGATTACCTTTGTTCTTACTCATTGACAACTGGCTGGCCAGTTGTCAGGTATTCTGCCTGGCTGGTGTTCTAATGAACCTCTGGTACCCCATGAAGCTAATATGCACATGCAGTGTACCGTTCATTAGTACATGTACATAAGTACATGTAGATGTGACCATGACAGGTGACAGCTTGTGATCAAGCTTGTGTAGATCTAGGCAAGGAAGGGGAAGGGCAGGAAGAGATCATCATCCATCTCCAACTAACTAATTAAGCAAGTCACCTGTGTGCATTCTAGCTCATGGCTTTGGTACAGATTAGCTTTCCTAGTCCTCTAGTGTGTTGTGGAGTGAATGACACTTTGGTATCTGACTTGCATTATTTGCAAGCTTGTACCATCCCATCATCACTGAAATCCTTTCAAAGTCCACTTTTTGCATGCCATGTTGCAGTGGCCCCTCCTCGTCAGTAACTGCCTATGCCCCTCCCCATATTAGGCAAAGTTGGGCACAGACTTTGTGCCACAGGCTTAATAATGTCTGTGCAGAAGTACATGCGTAGCAGTGGGAGGAATGACTAATACACTCACTTGAATGTCGTATACCGGTATGTGGCTGAAATATTCAGGACCTGTGATAGGATATCGCTGATGTTTAATACCAGCCAGTTATCCTTCCTGCCACTGACCCTCACCTCCCCCTTACCCCCTCCCTCCCCTCCCCTGGCTTGGTACGGCTGATGGTTTCCTTGCTGTGTGCTGTGTTCTGCTCCCAGTTTTCTAAGCACACATGCTGTACTTGCAGTATGATTTGATGTACATGAATACCTGCCGATACTTCTGTCCACGCGTACAGGTACCGTACTTCTTGGGACTTCCTGTAAAACAAAGAAGTAAAAGATTTATTGTATTTCCTTTTTTTTGGACACATTCATGGAATAGGGTTACATACAAGTTGACATGAGCAGTAATTTTGTACTTCCTCATCAATCTCAATATTAAGTTTATCTTCTAGATTTCAGATTGAGATGAAATCTACCTGAACATTTGGCTACAGCAGGCTAACCCTAATAGATCTGTCAGGGCTTAGAAATCAATATCTCCAGTTACAAATGGATAAAATACCTCTGTAGCCAGCTTTAAAATGGGGCTGTGCTTAGGCCATTTATTAATGGTCTCATCTCTTATTATTCCAATTCAAAGATATTGATGAGAGCAATTTAATTACAGATTGTTTGGACAGCCATTTATCTTGCGGAAGCTTTTTACTCTCACAAATTGTATTGATCAGCCTTACATGTTTGAAGTGATGAACATGTACATGTACCGGTAGGTAGTACAATTGGCTTATCTCCACCCTCTCACAGCCAAAGTGATGGCCCTGTAGCACTGTAGGTCTGTGCCAATTATCTGAATATTCTGATATTATATTGATTATCCAGAATTTGGATTTATTTTCAAAATTGACTATTGGGAGTTAAAATTCAATGAATTAGAAAAGGGAAAAATTTGATCATATTGTTTTTCAAATTTGGCATTCTAAAAATCATATTTGAAAATGTTAAAGGCAGCTGTATTCATATGCGGATTATGCCCAATAGTAATGCCAAAAGTTACTTTTCCTTAAATAGGTTCACAAAGGGAAAGTCAAATTTTTCAATATGTCATTATTTCAGGTCACTCCAGTCAGGTTTCCCCCCCCCCCGATTTATCCAAGCATGATAAAAAAAAATGAAAATGATCATTGTAAGATTTACTCTCCATATAACACTCAGATCTGAACTTATAAAGACAGTCAGGACAGAATATAACACACACAAAATGTAGATTCCTATGATTAAGGGTAGATTTGTATGTGCCATGTTTTTCTTCACATCATCGAACTTAACGTACCACAGCTGAAGACCATGACGTGTCCGCCTATTGGTCAACTTCTTCAAGTCAAATGGCATTGTTTTGCATAATTAATCAGCAAATGCACTCAGATGTCTATATCTTGATAGACCTAGCTGAAGACCATGACGTGTCCGCCTATTGGTCAACTTCTGCAAGTCAAATGGCATCGTTTTGCATAATTAATCGGCAAATGCACACAGATGCCCATATATTAGACAGTCACCTGCATGTGAACGTTTTACACAGATTAGAGATACTGTAGCCTGTGCATCTTTTCTCAAGTGCCATGCATTCTGATGGGCGTAGACTGACATTCAGTGAATGAATGTGCGCAAGTTCATGGTATTGCTCAGGGGATGGACATACAGTAGAAGTTGTATGTTCTGCCATCTGTCTTAAGTAGCATAACTTCAATCCTGGCCAAATCTCATTTGACCCCCCCACCTCTTGGACCCCCTCTCAGTGTTGTGTCTCAATGCACAGTTTGCGCTCCAACTGGACAGGACAACATTGACCGGGGAGTGGGAGACCTGCCAGGGGTATGGCTATTGAAACATGTGCCAGCAGTTTTGTCTAGGATTGTAGGTTGAAATTTCTGAGGGGCCCATAGGGATGCATACTGTTTTCAAGGGTTACTGAGAGCTAATAACTGTGTCTCATACATAGGCTGTGTACATTTCAAAGTTTCAAATGGGGTGGGAATTTTCCCCCATGGCCCCCTGTGTCCCACCCATAGTTACGCCACTGTGTTTCCCCTTTTTATTGCTGTCAAGGAGATGCTTGTGTTCAAGTTTTCCTGGTTATTACTGGTATCACCGAAAAAAGTCACGCAGGGCTTGAATGTGTATTCTCGGATCTTGCAACACACTGACCACCATTAAACATGTGCACGCATATGTTGGCATAAATGCACAGGCTTCAAAGGTTTACAAAGATCCTCTGTCCATTGAATTTACCTCCAGCAGCAGCCAGCCTCAGCTTAAGAGAAATTTTCCGCTCACAAATATCATCACGTCAATTTTCTAACATAGGATCTATTTTTCCAGTTCTCGATTTCATTTTCCCACTGTGTTTGCCCTCCCTTCTCATCCTGCAGTTCTGAGAGCAATCAACGAAGACAGCAAAGACGTCCCGGACCTTCTGACCAACTACATCCTCAAAGGTAGGCACAGCAGAGACTGTCCATTTCCATAAAACCCTAACTGGGTCAGGGCACCAGACTTTGTTTACATCTGGATCATGTCTCATGCTCAAATTTCCACCAGTATCCCCCCTCCCATCTTAACAGGAGACTTCGGGATTGACAGCTTCGATGATTTCTAGTTTTAGGGTTGTTGGGATTAGAGCCCAATAGTCTTTAGTAGCACAACCTCCCTGCCAATGCTGCGAAAAAAATTTCGAAGCCACAACTCAGAACTTGAACATTTTGCAGATGGCAAAGAGATAATGACAAATGATATGGCCAGAAATAGCTTATTGTAAGCATGTCATTGGATTTGTTTCATGTAACCAGAGACATGTACCCTGGATTCAAACATACATGTATAAAATTTGGGCAGATGCAACGAAAATGTTAAATTTTGGCTTAGTTTTTGTATCACCAAAAGTATGACTTCACCCCTCTTTCTTAAAGTGGGTCAAAAATAAACACTTACATGTATATTACATAAATTCCACATTACTGGTCTTACATTTCATAGCTGGGGTTTACACTCTCTAGGATTTGAATTATGTAATAAGAGATAGTATTTCCTCTTGCATATGGGTAATTCTAGAAATTAGGGGTCCATTTTTTTTTCATGTCCCTCTTACATCTGATGTGATATTTTAAGTTCAGAACTTATTTTCTTAATTCCAAGAGTGGTGAATTAATGCAGATAACCTGCCGAACAAATAGTAATAGCTCGAAACCCTTCCCGTGATATTTCCATGTCAAATAACAAAGGTCACATGTAACAGGGACACGAAAATGTCACACTTTTGGACCCCTAATTTCTGGAATTGCCCATATACCACTGTATACATGTACTACAGTTTAGTCCCTCAATTGTTGATTTCTCCATCTCCCCAACTTAGCCAGTATGTGTTACCATGGTTACATTTGGAGGATTCACTGCTTTTGAGAAGTTACATAGATGCATACATGTAGAGGATGTTATGAAAATCATTTTTTAAAATGACATAAACATGTGGTGATGTCACTCATGAATCAGTCATCCATCTTAAGAATGAAAAGTGTTTTTAAGTTTGGGAAATCCCATTTTGCAGAGAGATATTCTAGGTTGCTCAGTCGCTCATATTGGTGTCTTTGTAAATAGTTCAGTGTACCCATGATTGTGACTGTGCATGTAGGGCATTACAGTGGATCTACTGTGACTCATACCTACACTTGGAAGTGTCCATTCCCTATCTTTATCAAAATCTTTACTGCTCAAAATTGTTTTCCTCTTTGAATTGGCTTCAATTTAACGTCTAAAAGCAAATAGTGGAGGAAAGAATCTGCATTAAATTTTACTTGTCGTGCTTGATCAGTCACCAAATCAAGGATTTAAGGAGCATTGTGTTTGCATGATTGCAGCAGGGTTTTTTTTATCAGAGAAAAACTGAAGCCTCTGGGAACACTTTGGAGTAACTTGTTTATAATAATTGCAAATTGCATTTACTGAACAAAGAAAGAAGGGGGGAGGAAAAAAGTAAGTCCCTTCTCAGCAAAGTGTTTTACTGGTGCATTCAACTCCATCTTCAGTGCAATGTCCTGGATGAGAGCAAAGGGAGATGCTATCATTTCATTGAGCCTCCAGATTCCATCCAGATTTGAATCTTGAGGTGGCCCAGGAAATGGCTCAATATTTTACGCTTTGTAGTCAGGACCTGGAGGGATTTGTATCCAGATCAACCCCCCCCCCTAAAAAAAAACACAGTTGGGATGGCAGATTTGTTCCTCAGGTGATTTGGGTGTACTCCAAACAATTCATTGGTTTCGTAGGTTTGTTTTTTTTTTCTTTTATGTTACCTTTTTTTGCTGGGATGCGGAAGTTCACCCCTTTCTTTTATTTTGTTTTGTCGAATGATGTCACATCCCATCTCTTCTGCAAGTGGCTGCATCTTGAAAATTTATTGTTGCCGATAGTTACAACCATATGGAAACTAGGCTTGTAGGGTGTGGTTAAACTCAAGGCCCCTCATATCATGCAACTTTGCAGAAAATATTCAACTTACAGTTTTGCCTCAGATGTGTCATCAAGTATTCATATTCATGCACATTATGCATATGCATGTGCATATATATGATGTATATTTATATGTGTGAGACTGGATAAATCAGTTGATACAGAATTCTGTTTTTCACGTGCAGTGTTGTTCAAACCAGAGAAGGATGGCGATATCCCACTACCATTGCCCATGGATATGCAGGTCAGGTAAAAGGTTAAATGTGAGAGGTCAGCCATCGAGGAAAGAGCTCTGATTTTGTCATCATCATCATTGTTTTTTGCATCTTGCCCATTGCCAGTTGGCCCAAGCCACCCGTTCCAAGAAATTTCTTTTTTATTCTCAGTCATTTTTTTGGGGGGGGGAGGAATTGGGAGAAGTACCGGTACTGTTGGCAGTCACATGCTGATGTCGGGGGGTATTAAAACAGTTAAATTGACGTGTTGGGTTTGCATCAAGCTCTGAATGTTCATCAGCAATACAGCGCCAACAGATTTCATCACTTTCATCAAAGTTCTATTGCATGTCCCTGTGGTTTTGTAGCATAACGTAAACGTAGCAAGAAGGTATTGTCATTCACGTAGTGTTAGTAATATTCTGTGACGTACATGTACATTGTACGCATCATGCGATCTTGTGCAGGGTTCTAAATAGTACTTGGAGATATTCGTATTTAGAGTGTATAGAGTAGGGTAAATGCAAAAAAAAATCAAAATAAATACGTACATTTGTTCTTGCTCTTTTGTAAAATAAAATATATTACTATTAATATATTGAATACTCACGTGCTGGAAATTCTAAATTGACTGTAATGCAGTTAATTGTTTCACTGTAATGCGCAAGTATTTTTCTTTATTTGAAATTTTGTCAGTAATTGGACTGAAGCGAATTAGCTTTCACTTCGCTTTTTGTATTGCGTCGTGCTATTTTTTTCTTTTTGAATTTTTTATATGTTCATGTAAATTTGTGTATTATAAAAAGAGACGAAGATTTAATTATTAAAAATGCCCAAAGATTTATTATCCTGTCAAAAATCCATTAAAAAATAGTAGTGGTCATTGTTGAAATGGTACGCACTGAAGCCAAAATAGTGTAAGTCAGATGAAAGAGGTTTACAGAGGAAAATGTGAACAAAAATTGCCTAGTCATTTCTCGCGCAAACGCACCAACGAAAAAGAGTACGGTACTGTGTTTTTAAAGAAACAGAAGATTGTTTCTGGCTAAGTACTCCAGGCACAGTTCAATCATTTCTACTTACTGTAGTACATCTTAGCAATCCGGCAATAGCCACTCCTTGATTTCCACGATGCATGTACCTTTGGCAGCCAAATTCTCTATGTGTGGGGAAAAGATAATCTGTTTCTACCTGTACAATCAATGAGAGAAACTTGTGCATAATTAACAATATACTTGTACCACTTCAAGCTGCCCACCCTCATTCAGTTTCCAGGCCCAAGATTATTTTATTCCGGTTCCTAGCAGCCGTGTATGCTTGCCCAATGGGTTCTCCTGCCACTTGCCACTAGCAAGTTCTGTGAGTGGATTAATGGACTACCATTCTTATCAGGCAAAATGTTGGAATTTTAAGACTTGTAACAACCTCCTGCTATGGGCCTCGAGCTGGACCAAGAGGGCAATATTTGTAAGCAAAAGAGGAACTGAACTTCGTTTGTTCACGAACAAATAGGAAATGCAGGTGTCACAGTCGCATTACTACCAACAAATTGAACATTCCTGACCAACGTGGCTCTTTTCAACCGGGGGGGGGAGCTTTTGATGGGGGGATACCGGTATAATGACATTTTTAATTAGAATATTTTAAACAAGCAAAGCTTAAAAAAAAAAGAAATAGGCCACCTATCCAATCATAGGCTGTGTTCCAGTGTTTTTGCTGCATGCATCCCTGGAAGTCACCAGCCTGACCAGCAGCAATAAGGGTGGTTCGTCCTATTCACGCAAATTGCAAAGCCAAAGCAAATTTGATGTCACCAAGTTTTGTGCTTTGTCCACATTCTCGTCACTGTCATTCACGCATACGGTTTGCTGGATCACAGAATATGACTGGAACTTTCCTTGTGTCCAACCAGGAAATAGGTCCTTGTCCAAGATGTCTTCAAATTTTACAATATTACATGCAATAGGCTGTGTTTTCATATAGCAGGTACGCACACTGGTCTGATTCCCTCCTTCAACGGAGAGTTTTTACAGTCAGTCATTTTCTTCAGGAAGTGCTTGTCATTTGCCTGGAGTCTCGAATAGGATAGGCTAGTCGGATATACAAACCACCGGTGTACACAATTTGACAATTTTTAACACATGATAAACATTGCAGATGAATGTACCTTAGCCTATAGAGTACAAAATATATATTGTGAAGTTTGGTGCAGGCTTCTTTTTTTTATTTCTTGATAAGGAGTTTTTCTTCAGTTTTTTGGTATCCTCTGTGATGTGTCTAGCACACAGTGGGTTGTTATATCCCGAGGTAAGACTCAAGCAATCATGATACGCTCATACTCAGTTGACATATCACCAACTTTATTCTGGCTTGTTCTGGCAAAGGATTTTCCTGTCATCGATTCCACAAAATGTCCTCCCAAAGAGTCGTATGGTTTCTCATGAAAACACTTCTGCCTTTCAGCATCAGCAGGTCATTACAAAGTGACACCTCATCAAGATGGATTCACGGGCACAATTTGGGCCAGGGAGAAATGCCTCTGGGATTCAAACATTTTGGCGCCATTTGACAGTGATCCAGCGCAGGCACTTGTAGGGAATAAGGCACAACGCATACATGTTAAACTTTTGTCATGTAATAAAAGACAAGTACTGCAATATCAGTGTTAGTAAATGTCAGTTGTAAATCAGGCTTGGACTGCAGTGTGTAAATGTATGCATGTAGTATAGACTTCCTCACAGCATTGTCGGCCGCCTCAGAAAATTGTCACACAATCAAGTATCAAACCAAATCAAGCATCTCAAAGGGACAGTTACCTGTTGCATTGGTGGGTGTTGTTTATAAACTCATTTGCATCTTCTCTACACAATGTGGCGTCTGTATTATGGACAAAGATGCGTACAGACAAGTTAGTCTGCTTGAAACATCAACGTACCAAAGGGATAGCACCATAAGTCAGCCTTCGAAGTGATAGCACTTCGAAGTGCTATCACTTCGGTTTATTGAATTACGTATCACACAAAGGCCAAGGACTTTTTTCCTGGGAATGCCAGCCCTGTGTTGTTGCATTGCATGTGCTTCATTAATCGGCTCTTGATCCACCTGGGATCTATATCTGCTTAGTGAACAAATATCCCCTTCATTGACGACAGATAGATTGACTAGAATGGTAATGTTATGTCATTGGCACCTTGCACCCAGCACCTCAACAAAACTTGATCAGTTACTCACATTTTTACCATCACAAGTTAAAAAAAGAAAAGGAAGAAAAGAAACACCATCCCTGTATTGCTGGGTTTTATTAGAGTTTCTCGTTTTTAATCAGTGCTGAAACAACTAGCCCAACTCCCCGCATGGCCATTTTCTGTAACAGGTAGCATGTCCTGTGGCATTTGTACTGTAAATAAAATGCAGCTCTTTTGATTAAAAAGTGCAATTTCTTGGATCAGTGTCAGGAAGTGTGTAGTTATGTAGAACATAAAGATAACTATGGGGCGGTCAGCTGAATGGAAATTTGCTTTTGGCACGAGTTGTTGTTTTCGTTGACTTTTCCTCATGGATATAATGTACACAGTGTAGTAGGATAAAGGAGTGTTACTTGTAGTTCTCGTGAAGGATATTAGCTGTGTTTCTGTAGGTAATTCTATGTGACAATGTGCCTGTTATAGCTGTGTGCAGAGACAGAAAGGACATAGTAACCTGTTGAAAAGGAAACATTTTACAATATTTCAAACACCGCGTGGACAAATTCACGCATGTTTATCAGTGTACGTTCTCGAAGCCCCCAAAATACGCTGATAGTGTACAGGTATCTGTCCCTTGGCAGTTCGAAAACTAGTTTACATGTACATTTACGGTATGTGGGAGGATGTGTAGCCTGGAAGTTAAAATTTGAAACTCTTGATCACAGGTTCAGGGGTTCAAATCAGCCAGCTGGCTTAATGTTATAACCTTAGGCAAGTGACTTTACTCCAACCCTAGCTCCAACTTGCCCTCTCTCCACTCAAGAGAGTAAATGGGTACCTGTGAGGGCAGAGATGGTTATTACTTACCTCTGATTAGCCATTTCACCTGAAATGGCAACATCAGGCTGTGTACTCCCCAGGGAGCTGAGATTCAGAAATGTTTATAAGCCCGATGATGATAATAAGCATGTGCGCTCTGATAGGTTTTCCAGATAAGTGTGCCATGTAAGTCTATATGTTGGTACGAATAAAACATACATAGTGTGGACGTTCGCACAAAGGAAATCCACATAATACAGGGTGTGGACTTGCACACATCCACACTCTATTTTCCCCTCTAGAGACATTTCAGGGTCGGGTTTATCAATGGCAAAAGAAAGATAAACAAATCCAGCTTGTTGTCGTAGAGGGAGAAATAGGAGCACTCCCCCTCCCTTCAAGTTTTCTGAACTGCAGGAGACCAACGGCATGCCAACACTAGGAATGTGAAACAAGCATGTACGAGTGCACAGAGCTCACCTGCCTGTCAAAAGAAACGAAAACTAGTTGCAGTTTCGTGGCCCCTAATAAAATTGCACCCTTATCCTTGGAAGTTTTAAAATCTGAAGTTAAGGCTCCATGCTAGAGTAACAAGGAACAACTTCTGTTTTTGCCCTAGAAAAATTGGAAATTGAAATTTATTTGGTGCTTCATTGTGTATGTGTGTTTGTAAAATTTGTGCCAATTTTGCTGTTTGTACTTCTCATATTTAGCATAGTTATGATTCATTCACATCAGATTTAATAATGGACTACTGTTTAAAATCCATTTGACGTACATGTAAGCGGCATATTGAAAGCCTGGGCCATTATTTTTTTATACTTACATGTCATTCGTTGCTCAGGTGCTTTGCATTCACAATAAATGTCAATTTGTTCAAACCTGTACCTCTGTTTTTTTGTTATGTTTACATTTCAGTATTATTTACTTTGTATTGGATTAAGCATATAAGTCATTTTCCTTTACCATTTCTGCAACAAAGTTGTTACCAGTACACGGCAATTAGTAGTATGGGTGTAGTAATAGACCAAGTCTTTGTTATAAGACAGGAGAAACTTGGGGGGCCTACAGCTAAAGGTTTTCACATGGACAGCTTGCAGTAAATTGTCAGAAGCCATGGGCAAGGTGCGAGCTTTTGACACAGCCTATGTCATGATAAGCATTCGTCAAAAAAAAAAGAAAAAAAAATTGAGCCAAGGACCATGTTTTCAGAAGGTCATACCAATGATTCTATGAAAAATTGTGAACTATGCACAACTGCATAACCAGAACTTTAAAAGTTAAAGATTTCACAGATGCCATCATATTTGTCATATGTTTTCAAACATGTATTTGAGAGAATCCAAGTGTGCTTTTTCAACCAGTGCAAGGTGGACTTTCCACAAATCATCATGAGAGACCGACACTCCACATAGTTGAGAATGTCAGGTGAACCCGTCCTGATTGGTTAAGCATTGCACGTGCTCGTTGAGATTTTACCAATGGGAAAGGTGCTCAAGAGACCTAAATCCTGAAGGCAGATCAGTCAAGTAATAACTGAAATCACTGCTTTCTGTTGTCCATTTGGGTTCAGCAGATCCAGAAGTACTATGTGTAGAGAATGCTTAGCTGATACGTGGTCATTCTGTACCTTCAATGGTCATTTGGCGTGTGGTGTTGTTAGCCTTTCCCACCTTTTTTGTGACATTCACTAGAAACTGTAGTAGCCAGATTGAGAAGAGATATTGTGCACAACTGGTGCTTGATAGAGGTTGTGCATGGTAGTCATTTTTCCGGTAAGGGCTTTTGTTCCCCAGGGATACACATCAGGGGTGGATCCAGGGGGCATAGGGGCGCATCCTCCTTTTTTGACCCAGACAATAAATAAGTAAATGAGAAAAAATGAGGGAGGAAGGAGAACAAAGGTGTCGTACTGCTTGAAATTGCACCACGGAGCACCTAGAATCCAAAATGGCTCCAGACTCCACGACATACTGGCATTTTACCATTACTGCTTTAGCTCACGCCCTCCCCCTGTGAAAAATTCAGGATCATGCCCCCTTTTGAAAAAAACAGGATCTGCCCCGTACATGAGTAGACCTTTTTTGCTAGATTCCTCCATAACACAGGCAGTTACTGGAAAAATGGCTGTCGTGCACAACCTCGGTAGAAAACCATGATCCACAGTGCTAGAAATAGGTTTTTTTCGTATTTTCAATTCCTTTTCTTGGTTAATTTGTTTGTTAATGTCTCTTTTAATCGAAAACCTTGAATTATATATTCCCTAAAGAAATGATGAAAACATTTCACCACTTTTTGTACTGTATTTAAGCATGCCCCAGGCATAACTGTTTAAGCTTTTTTGGAAGATGTTTTACCTGGAAAAACAAAGCTATTGTCGTAAATTCTAAAGTAGGTTGAAGATGAGGCCATTTGCCTGTCAGAAGTTTAGTGAGTGTTTAGCTGAGGTATGTGTACCGTTGACGCATTCTAGAGCTTAATCATGTGCACTTGCGTACATGTATAGAAAAGTGAATTGTGAAACACTCCAACTTTTTCTCTGTGGGAAATGTATGTGAAAATGACATTTCAGTGGAGGTGTTGTGACAGCTCCTAGATTTGGAATCCTTTGGCTTTCGGCAAATAGCAGCTGTCAACTTGACAGACTGTTTCATAATGGGTAAGTTTGATCAGTGACAGATTGTCAACTAATGGTCGACTTTGACTGGTAACCTATGCTTGAAATGTATACCGGACACCAGGCAAAATCGACTAGTGGTTAACAAATTGCCACTGATCACACGTACCCAATATTGCTGTGTACAGAAATTTGAAGTGCAGGACTTCTACTTTCTACACGTCCAAACTAAGTACAGTTCTCAGTATCATTGTCAAAATGAAATCATGTTGTAGTGTGGTGACCATTTATAACACATTAAAATAATGTTAAATGCACGAGTGGGCAACTCTTGACATATTCAGTGTGTTACTGTAATAATAATACCAAAGTAGAATAACTGACTGCATTTTAAAACAAAGAGAATTGTTCAACAAATTTATGATAACAGCATTGAAAATTGCACAACTCTGTGCTGCATTAAGAATTGCTGCTTGTGACTTTTTTCCAAAAACAGGTCTGAGTATGGTAATGAATTTTCACTTTCCTTTTTAATTAATATCCAACTAATAATGAGGCTGTTTCCTGTGACACCAGAAGGAAAGTTGCACACAGATGTGCTGCTCTTAAATCACTCCTGATTTCTGTATTCGCAAGATAATGTGTTTTTGGAGTTGTCCATTGGCTGGTAATTACTATTTAAGATTTGTTGATTGTTGTACATGGCTTATGGCTCTCATGGTGAAGGTGCAAGTGCCATGTACATGTATGCCGTATAAAATAATGTCCCATATCATAGCAGCCAACCACTGTTCTGTCACATAGAAGTATGAGAAAATGACTGGTTGAGACTCACTCTGCTGGCAAAAAATAATTTCTAGCTTGTTGAGCAAGCCTCAACCATCCTGACACATTTTATTGGTCATTGTGAGCTTTCCTGCCAGACGCCACACTGAGGTTACACAAATGCTCTAGTGGGCATATCCTTCTTGTCTGATGCTCTGGTGCAGTGACTCTGTGATGCCAGTGTGTATAAGGCAGCTTTTAATTAAGTGACTTAAATACTGTCACAATTGTTTTCTTTTTTACAAACATGGCAAGCATTCATCCTAGAACAATGAAATTTAGAGGTTTAGTTTCTACTATTTCACAAAAGTGGTTACCAGCTAATTTAGTAACATGACCAGCTAACTTGGCTTGTGAAAACAGAAAACGGGATTTAGAAGCAGTTTGTATCAGTGTGTTGCTTTATCTGAGTACTGCAGGCAGCAGCCTTCATAATTTATCTTACAACCTGAATTTATGCCAAGATATTGAAAGGTTGCATTCAATATTTGGAGCGGCAGGTTTAGCAAACTGTACTGTACAAGTAATCTTGTGTTAAAATCAATGTGACAGATGTGAATGTATTAAATGTCAAGAGATTCAGATTGGTCTATAGCTTGCTTGTTAATTTTGTTGTCCTTAATCCTTACTCCCTGGATACTATTCCTATGGAGCTTATCCAACTTCTGCTCAATCCAACAGTGCGGGGAAAAGTAAGGACACGTTGTACCAGTAATGAAATGCAGAGCAATAAGCCTCATGGAAAGAGCGGCCACTTGGTGTTTAGTCTGAGTATCACTTGTTGTTCAATGCATTGATTCTGTATTGCCAAAAATCTTTTTGACATTACAACGTGCATCATATGAATTGAGTGACAAATAAGTATGGCATTTTATGCACAATCCTATGGAAGAAATGAGAGTAAGTTTGTGGTAGCACCGTCTACATTGTACAGTTTCACTTCTGAGCTTGTGAGGATTGTGATCATGGATGGTATTGGCCAATCGGCATCAGGGTATGAAGCTCATTCATCTTGCATTGACGAATCACATTCATTTTCAGCATCCAGAAAGTATTTTTGTAAACTATGCATCCATCTGTGTCTTGTTGAGCAGACCTAAGATATATTCTGAACAAAAGCATCAATTGATTGACTGGTTCACTCCCCCCCAGGGTCATGCATAAATTACATGGGTTGCTTGTTACCAGTGTGCTCATGATGCAGTGAGAGTGTCAAAAGGGTTTATTCAAGTGACTGTTCCAGAGACTGGGGACTGAGTCATATAGCTCCTGCCAAGCCTTAAGTGGGGTTATGGCAGATTTGGGGCTGTCAGGCAATTGGGGTTGTACTTGGCATGGCCTGCAGCTGCACTATCATAAAAATGATGCACAACCTGATCTAATTCTGGAACATGTTAGTGGGCGGCCCAGATTTGGTGAAGTGACGTTTATGCTTGAATCTGGGATGATTCCGGGAGAGAATCCAATTTGAAAGTGATGGGGCTATTTCTGATTTTGAAAATCACTTGAGAAATGAAGGCCTCAAATATGGAAGATAATACAGCATCTCCCAATGTGGAAAAATTAATTGGTTTGGCTAAGTGACATGTTTTGCTACATCCCACAAATACATTCCTCAAAGATATCCATTCAAGACACACCATTTTACTGAAACAGAGGCATGTGGTTATTTGGTATTTTTTCTCATCTCTACACCAGCAGGAAATTTAGACCTTTATGATTAATTTTTTACTCGAAAATCATAAATGGTGAAGAAATTTATAAATGTATTTGTATTAATAAGCAACTGTTCCCTCACATTAATTTTTTTTCACTGCATTCATATTTATTCACATCAGTTAGCAAAAATACACATACATGATACTTTATGTTCTCCATCATATTTAGTTTTTACACAAAATGCAGGTGCATACCTTTTATAAAACAAATTCAAAGCACACATTTGGCCATTTGTGTTTAGTTTAAAAACTTACCAAGGCTTTCAGGGAAGCACAGGGTTAGATAAAGGCAAGTTTACAATGGTTGATCATGTTGGCAACTTGAAATTACTATCTTGGAGCACTGGGCACCGATGACTCTACATGTATGTATTTGACACACATGTATGCTAACAAGTAGAAAAGTTAGAAAAGTCACAAAATGTTTTGAGGTTACAAAGGTATAAAAAAACACCAATCTAGAAAAAAATCTTATGACAGCATGCACACACTTCAGAAATTTTGGGCAAGGCTTTGAGGAAAACCAGTGGAATATGTTTTCAATGATCGGAACCAATACAGTACCGGTACCTCAATTGAATTAAGAGACAACTGGTGCTGTAAAGGAAACATCATTACTAACATTACTTATGTTACATTAACTACACTTATGAAGGCTCCATTTTTTACCCATCATTCATTGAGTGACTGTTTAGGGTGAAAACAATGGCGAGGTATGTGACCCTCTTGCAGAACTCCCCATCCTTGCACATTTGGACTGATGGACTTCCTGTGCTGGTGCTGAACCAGATATTGAAAGATGTAAATGTAAAGTGTGGCTTTTTTGATGAAGTACACACACATACTTGTTTCACAAATGAGGGGAAATATAGATGTGGGGACCAAAAGCAAACTTTTGACCCCACAGTTCTGTCCTGTCTTTCCTAAGAAAGGAAATCCGCCCCCATGCAGTGAAGTCCTGCCCTCATGCATGAATGGTGTATCTGTGAAGCTACACATGAAAAATAAGACCCATTTCAACCCCATCATTGGCAACAAGCTGTGGAGACATTCCACACGAGCTGACTTGAGAAACTGCATTCACAAATGACCAAATCAGTTAATGTTTGCATAGGATTAATCATATAATGAAAACACTTCAGCACACTCGTAATTCAGTGAGCAACAATCTTCGAACCCTGTTATCCATAACATGTAGTTGTACCAATGCACACTTGTGCTTTATATAAAAAGAAACAGGTTTTGCTTTGTGGTCACGGACCCGTTATATAACCCTGCAGAAGCTAAAATGTTAAGTAATGAGTCTAGCATGATAATGTAATGTATGACATAACATATTGAGTCAAGTAAAATTTGCTGTATTCAATTTCATTACATTTACCGTCAAAAATTCCTTACTCTGTCTAAATTTATGGACCAATTTCCCTTGCATTTTAGACCATGACCTGTCAGATTGGTAATTTAAGTCATCCACACAAAAATGAAGAGCATCCATAAATACACATATAAATCATGGGCAATGTTCCCATGAACAGACAAGTCAGAACAAAATATTGCAGGCATGTGGTAATTTGAGCCAACTGCCTGAATTGTGAAGCTCAATGTGAATATTAACTACCAAAAAATGTGCCTATGTAATTGCATAGGGTAATGTCAAATAACGTATTTAGGTCCTTAAAAATTAACAGTTTGCCACATGTGTGTACAAAAATACCCTGCGTAATTTGTTTCCATCAATTCTTTTTCACCAGTGATAAAAACAGTTTTTAGTTTGTTCATTTGTTAGGCATTTTATTTTAGTTTTGTTTCATTTGGGCTTTTTTCAAAAATTGTAATTTTACAGATAACAGAGCTTCTCAGTGTTATGTAACATTTTTGTTAACTCAGTCTGCATTGTTTGTGGGAAGAAAAAGACAAGGTGAAAAATAAAGTTTTCTGAAAATAACTCCTGCCTAACTCTAGGAAACTCGAGTCTCATTTTGCATGTAAGATCATTTGTCCACAACAGGTTAGGAAACAGCACAGAATCCATAGTTAAATGCTCCTTGCAACAAGTGCTGCCCACTTTCTAGCTAAAATATGAGCCATCATTCCAAAACCAGGCTGAAGAAGCTTATTTTGATGTTTGACAATTCCTTTCCCCTGCTTTCTGTTTCCGTACTTCACAGTGATCAGAGGTAAAAGCTTTTTTTTTTGTCTTTTAAACATTGGTTCTGGACAGATTGTCAAAAACACTGAATTCCAGATGGGTTTTTCGAGTACCATTTACATTCCACACACCATTTACGATACCATCAACTGACTCTTCGTGAACCTGACCAAATATTTCAATCCACTTTTATACAGATATGAATCTTGGAAATGGAAAGATAAATTTTTGCAAAAGTTTTAGCAGAGGAGGTTTTTTTTTATGATGTTGCTTAGCGTATGAATACTCAGCGCCCAGCATCTCCACTCGGCAAAAATATTGGCAACCTGCAATGCAACAGCATAGATATCGCCTTTGGTTCTTGGCTGGTTTTTGACAAGAAGAGACAACATTTCCTGCTTGTGAGATAGGGTGTGGATCACTCAGCACACATAAAAACTGAAATGGAAATGGCACTCCCCACCCCAGCACTAAGAAGTTTCAGATCTTGGCTGTCACTTTTTCAAGCTTTGTCTTAGCTATTTGCCAAGGCTTCAGTTGCTTAACTTGCATTAGAGGTGAGAAAGCAAAACAGCATGAGTGGAGACTAAAAGCATTGGGGGGCTCGCACCCAGAGTGGTGATATCTGCCCCAGTCACTGCCCTCCCTCACAGCTACACTATCCTATCTAATGCCAGCCAAGTCATGAAGGCAAATTGCTAGCTTTGTCTCAAGTCCCAAACCCCTCTGTACATCTATGTAATGTTAATACTAAGTGAAAGCAATTGGCATCTTTGGCTTGAAAGTACAGTTTTGTACTCCTACAGCAAAATACAACTTTGTATTGAGCCAAAACCTCCAAAGTTTGGAAGGGAAATCAGGCAAAATTTGACCCAGAAATCAAGCCACTATCTGGGGGGAAAATAGTGTTTCTTGGAAAGCTTTTATTAGACAAAGAATGCACATTATACTGGTTAATATTTGCCACTATCGGCAAATACAAATATTTACTGACTTTGGCTATAAATCTAAGCAATTGGTGAGGAAAACAGATAGATGGATATAAGAAAGATTGCTCATTTGGAGAATCTGGTGGCAAATATCTATGAACAGGGCTGTCCTGAGGTTTCCATCAAGTTGTTGCCTGTTGCAAGCTCCAGGAAGATCACATGGCCACAAACAGAAGTGTAGATTGGATTCCACACTGTTTCCTAGCTTTTTTCTTGCTCTTGCGGATACATGGTGCTCAGAGAAACTAGAAGTTAATGCAACTTGAAGAGGCGATTTGTCAGGTGCATGTCATCTGTATATCTGCAGAGGATAAAGAATCCCAAAGATGTGATTTTGGCATTTTAGTCTTCTGCCATCTTGAAAGGGGAAAGTACCGGTAGCAGAAAAAAAGGCCACGGTTTGCTGAAACAAAATTTCGAAATAAAACCTGGATACCCCACTGAAAATGCTTCCTCTTAAAAAAATTCTAGTGACACCAATGGATGGATGTAGATTAGCCATTCCATCCCGTGTTGCAAAAGGAACTCCATTAGCTGAGCAAAGTGTAAAGACATTCACGACTTGTTGGACTTCCATTAAGCAAGCAATAAATGGACTCAAGGACTATGCAAAAATCGAAATTAACCCAGTGTGGATGATAATTCTAGTACCTGGTACAGCACAAACCTGAAGCGTTGAGGAAGGAACAGAAACCACCGAAGATTTAAACATGGTAAGATTCGTTAATTTCCATTAACATTAACGCAATTTTCCTAAAACAATAAACAGGATGACAAAGGGAAAGCAGGTTGCCTAGGAGAAACAAAACAAAAAATGAAATATGTGGTGATTGAAAATACATGTAATGATTAAGAATCTGGGCCAGCGCTTGATAAAGCTAGAATTCCATTTTCTCAAACCTCGATCTACTTTTTTCGAGTTTCATAGCTAAAAGAGTTGCAATATTCATGGAGTAACAGTCAGTCAATTTGTTGGCATTGCTGTCACTAAATTAGTGAAAAAATGTATCCAGCCAGACGTGCTCTTGCTGGACCATTGCTTAATGCAACAAAATTGCCGCGAAAATGTTGAATGGGCCTATAGACCCCTTGCGTTAAGGTGCAATCAGAGGCTATTCTTTCTTTTAACTTAATTACAATGAATGCGCAATTTAAGGTTTACTTGAGCCTTGGACCAAGAGGAAGAAAAAAAATGCCCTCTCCGAGTCTAACATGACATCAGTATGCAGGAGGTGTACTGCAGAACCTTTGCAACAAAACTCGATTCTCTACAGGTAGTTAGTCCTAATACCTTGTCATTGGGCTGTTTATGTGAGGGAATCTAGTCTGCTTCTCTCTGACCATTCGGGGAGGCATCGCCATCCCGGTGCCCCAGTTGGGCGGGCTGAAGGTGATAGGCCGGCCACTGGACGGCAACATCTGCCGAAGCGTGGACCACTCCTCACACCGAGTACTCGGCGAGGATACACAGATCCCCGCCTCCTCCTTGGCCCTCGAAATACTTCTGAGGGATGGCTCGCCGAGGGGTACCCAGTGCGGCTCAGCCAGCGGCAGAGCTTTGGGGGCCATGAGTTTGTGTCGCGGTACGGGTGCCGTGCTACGGAGATCGGTAGGGATGTACCGCTTGTTGACCCACACGGTATCCTTGCTGTATCCGCATATATCGGTCTCATTTTGTTCATTTCGTGGCTTCAAGACACGGTCCTCATACTTGTCCAGCAAATATTCCGGGTAGAGCCACTTGTGAGAACCAAAATTTCCCATACATTGGGCCGTCATGTTGCAGCTAAGTTAACTTTTATTCACACGACTTTGTCATAAACCGAATCTCCAAGTTACGTTATTATTATAGGCCTACTATTACGTACACATATGTGTACGTCGATCGCATCGGTGCAAGCAGACGACAGGGACAACGGCGCTGCGTTGTCATGACTATTAACGGGTATCCGGCCAATTTGGTATACACAGGTTCGTATTTGCTTACCAGTGTTCATACAACGCCCTCTGCTGTTGCACTCCACTTCACGCGGGGGGGTGATCAAAACTTCTCCTCTTTGGTTTAGTAGTCACCGGCTTCACATTTTTATTCATACCTTCCCCTTCCGACTTTCCAGTTGTGATGTTTTTTTCTGAGGAAGAATTGAATAGAACAAGTGGTTTCACTGATGAAAGTGCTCATTTGTTTTGTCTTGTCTTGTCTTGTCTTGTCTTGTCTTGTCTTGTCTTGTCTTGTCTTGTCTTGTTTTGTTTTCAACTTAAATCATTATACGTGTGCAATCATTCTTTTTACCCGTTAACCCCCCCCCCGAAAAAGCATAATTTCATGGGTTCCCCAGACCATTTTGAATAGGAGGTTGGTAAAGTGGTTTCAGCCCCTTTTTCTCTTTTCCCTTTCTTCCTCATCCATTCCTCGTTTTTTGATTGTTTGTTCTTCTTTCCGACAGCACCACCACATTAATCAACAAAAATGACTCATGCCTTAGATTGCGCTCCCGCACGCCCCTCTAGCGCTACAAGTGTAAAACGGGGCTTCTCCTTTTAAGGAAACTCCCTCAAGGAATATTTAGATACTTTTTTACATGAAATAATTATTTATTGCACAACGATCTAGAAATTCCAGAAAAACTCAAAGGAAATTTTTTTTAAATAAGGAATATCTACCAGCGTCTAGTGAGGGCGCACTGTTGCGCCGCGAATTATCATCGCAACCCAATCTGGGATCAGAGACTCCGTGTAGTCTCTCCTAATAAATATGATCTCTGTGTTTACAGACCAATTAATTAATCGCCATAGACAAAAGTGATAAATATTCCAGGTGTTCAAGACACATATCAAATCAAAGCTCACTTCCCCATCTTCCATTTTCCTTTTAATTTTCATTGGCTTAACCGATGACTTTTGAAGATATTTCTCTTCAGGGCAAATCACCCCTCAAAACACTCATGACGTCCATCGCCATTTTGAAAATTGATGTTTACACTCCATTGCAAAATAGAGCAATTTGGAGGGTTCCGTTTGGTCTGATACTTTCAGAAATACAAACTTGCAGTCCTGATCCTGATCCGTCCTCCCTTAACAAAACACCCAGTCCACGTGCCACGAAATGCTGTAATAGCAGATAATGTAGTTTTGGACCTATTTACTGGCCTGCAATCCTATGGGTGCACTGTCCAAATTCACGGCTAATTCTCCGTCCGGAGGAGACACTGAAAAAGTACCCCTATCAGTTTTTTTTTCTAAAAAAGAGGAGTTTGTTGGTCCAAGAAATTGTGGGATTGTGTAAATATGACCCAGGAGCAACCACCCAAGGGCAAATTTAAGCAGAGAAAATGCTGCTGAAAAATTGTCCGAAGAGCCCCGCCGAAATAAGTGGAGGGTGTTACTTGAAAAATGGTTGCTGGCAGACTTGGTAACGTTCACTTGTTGGTTATTTGGTGGCAATTAAAAATTCAGTTGGTAAACCTACAAAATTTGAAAATCAAATGAAATCTGAATGACCAAACAAAACTTTGTTTAGTTTGTTTATGGTTTTTTGTTTTGTTTTGTTTTTTGAGAAAGAGAGAGAGAGAGAGAGACCTGAGGGACCTGGATGCCCGCGGATCGGAGCTGTGAACTTTGTTGATTTTACACTGTTTTCAGTTCCCCCTGTGCATGCCACACATCATTGCATTGCGCCCTCTATGCTTCCTCAGTGTTAAAACAAATCCAACCTCTTCCTGTCGTTGACACTTTGAAAAAGATAAATGTAATGTAAAAGAAACTGCAAAAAGGACAGTCTGACGGAGAGATTCGAACCACTAATCTTCAACTCACAGAGAGCTTCCAAACCACAGAGATATGCAAAGCGATCTTACTCTTTTGTGGTAATTCATCAGTATTATCATATCCAAGGATTTGTAAGGAAAAAAAATATATATACCCCGTTTGGATGTAAGGTTTAGGAGTGAAAGCATGCAGATGTTCACCGGTATCATGAAAAGCCTTTTCTTTTTGATTTACGTCATACCCCCCCGTCCCACTGTCCCCGTCACATAGTTACACTACTTGATATTATGGCCATCGGCCAACCCCATTTTTGAGCCTCCCGAAATTAAAGGGGCGTTGAGAACGAAGTCAGCTGAGCGGGTAATTTCTTTGATTGAAACATTTACATGCGAAAATTAAAACCCCGAGTATGAATAAAAATGGAGCTTTAGGCCTATCTTGGCAAAATTGTAGAGTTAAAATAAATTCAGAATTGTCTTTTTTTTTAACAGAAGGATAAAATTCCATCAAAAGTGCAAATAAAAACAGCTTTACCCTATTATTATTATCTTATTACTATTATTTCTAACTGATGACACTCGAGACTTAGAAAATGTCCTTTAACATAATACCGCAAATAGCCCCTTTTTCTTGGGTGGAGGCTTATTAAGAGTGCAACGGAGAAGTTTAATTGGGGCGTCCGTTGTTGACTGTATGGTTCTCATCATTTTTTTAATCTGGAGGTAGAGGATCCGTCGGTCGTGGAAAATTACCTGCTAATCCCCGGAAGCTCTTAAGATTATTATTTTTTATGTATGTCTTTTTGCCTTTTTGGTAGGAAATTCCAGACGGGTCGGCGGCATAATTTTTTTTTCTCAGTTCAGGAGCCAAAAACAAGGGTCGGTTGGAAATGAAAAGAGATCTATAGAATCAACTGTACTATTATGAGCCCAAAGAAAGGATTCAAGTTTGCTTTGTGTAATCTGTGTCTTTGAAAAGACGCCTAAATTACACTACAAACCTGCGTCATATCAATCTAGCCGGTTAAGTTATGCATAG